ATGTAGAATAAGTGAATTTAATGTGTCGCAATTTCAAGCATAGATCTGGTTCATTTTTCAGCTGAAACTCTGGAAACTTCAGATGATTAGTTCAAGGAACGTTGGAAAGCCGACAATCTGACCGTTTGTTTAGTTATTATGGACTTTTGCTCTCTGCTCATCAGCTGTAGGAAGATGTTCCACCATCAGCTGAATGCATCTCCAACAGCTGGCTCCTCTGCTCTCTGGTTCTGATCCGTGCTGCATTCATTTATCAATCCAGTAGGTTGGATTTTACTCTAATGATCATTTTAGACACATTTATGTCATTTTGACCAGGTTTTGGGTCACTGTTGATAATTCTTTCCACTAATTTTAGGCTAGTTTATGTCACTTTAGACACTTTTTAGATCATCTTCAATCAAGTTTGCATCACGTTGGATAGAAATATTTCCATTTCGCTCAATGTATCGTCCAACAACTGGCTCCTCTGTTCACCGTTTCTGAGCCGTGCTACATTTATTTTATCGATCCAGCAGGTTGGATTTTGGAAACACTGCCTGCAGTTCAACCTGAAAACTCTGCATGTCGGCTGTGCAGAATCAGAGCCAGGAGGGAAGACGGGTTTCATTCTACAGAATCTGCTGCAAACACTTTATTTGGGATATTTTTTTTTTAAATGGGACATGTAGAATAAAAAGTTTTTATTAAAATATCAAAATTAAATTGTCCTGATAGAACTGCCGTCATGTTGAGGGATCATCTGAAAGTCCAACATTTCTGTGTCTAAACTCAATAATGTTAAAGTTTAGTCTGACTTTCATTTGACCCTCAGAAGGACGGACTCTCCTGAGATCCTGGTTCTGTCTGCTGTCCGTCATAAAACCTCCCCAAAGGGCAGAGTTCAGGAGGAGCTGCTCTGGTCTAAAGTCCCAAAGACGCTCCGGTGTGGTAACAGAGTGACGCAGCTCTGTGTTTGATCAGCGCAGGAGTTACTGTTTAACCGCAGATAAAGAGGAAGCTTTAACCTCAGGCCCTGTGTGTTCAGGACATGCTCGGCTGCTGCAGACAGAACAACAGGCTGTTGACCGACCCTACAGTCAGACCCGATGCATGTTATCGCAGCAGACGCAGGTTCAAAAGGGCAGCATGAAGCAGAACACGCTGCATCCTTCTGTTGCAACACATTGTTCTGCTGCAGCCCGACCTGCAGCTCAGAGCTCCAACCGGACCAGGCTCAGGTCATTCAGAGACTTAGACGGGGATTCAGGGAAAACTGGATTTTTCTTTAAGGTTTAAATCAGTTGTTGGACTTGAACTTTCAGACGTTCAGTTCCATTAAGAAAAAGCTTCACATTGTTTCAACCTCTCCATCCTACACGGCTCCTGAAGAAACGCTCTAAAAATAAATCATTTGCTCCAGATTCTGGGCGAAAAGCAGCACAGAGCAGTTTTATTTTTGGACTTGATGTTTAGATTCTAATTCTTTTAATTCTACTCCTACGTCCTGTTAGACAGCCAGAAACATAATCCGTCTTTACGTTCCATTTTCACTGAGACACACTCAGGAGCCGCTCTGTGAACGCACATATTTGCTCATGAAACACTCCTGACCGTCTTCTGTTCTCGTTATCTTGCCTCAAGATTTCAGGAAAGAGTCTGTGAAATCTTATCTTCTCCTGCGTGACCTTTTCTTAAAGCAGGTGTGCAGGTATGTGGACACTTGTTGCATCATAGAAACTGACTAAACTTCACTAAGTCCTGTTGGAGCTCCTGTGAGCCTCAGAACCAACATCCTGAACCGGAGCTGCAGTTAAAATGGCTTTAATTCAGGAGGATTGGAAAGCGTCGTCTTACCCGTTGATTCCGACTTTGACCATGTTGTCTGGCTGGTTTGTCCTCTGCTGGGGGGAAGAAGGAGAGAGTCCCTGTTAAATGTTAATACTCCAACAGTCGTGAAGCCGCCACTGATGCTCAGATTGTGTGGAGATAAGCAGACATGCAGCAGAGAGAAGATCCAAACTCCTCTTTCACCTCTGGATCAGCAGCTACACCAACATTTAACGTGAGAGCAGTAAAGCTGAGAGACTTTCTGTCCTGGGCACATGTGCTTCAGGTGGAGGCCTAGTCAGAGCAGCTGACTGATCCAGGTGAGCTGAATCAGGTGATCTGAATCAGGTGTGCATTCAGTGAGTCTGTGCAATTACCGTCTGTGATCCTCGTCTGTCCTGACGGCGGCGTGACTCCGGTCCGAGTGGGGAAGAGCAAAGTTTAGCTCTGTGTTTTTATGAGTGACCAGGCTGAGGCCACGCCCACTTATGGTCACTAGCCCCGCCCCTCTTTTGAATGTCAAGGTCGTGAGCTGCAGTAAAGCGGCCTCTGCAGCTGCAATGCAAACTGTCTCATAATCTGAATCCCTGCAGCTGACTTCCAGGCTTGAGTTTAACCAGTAAAACCAGCTTTAACTTTTAGCTCCTCTGAGGCTCTGGAACAGTTGCACCTTCGCTGACCTTCTCTGTAAATACAGAAGCAGCAGCTCAAGGATCAAATCACATCTTCTGACATTTGCTGTCCAAAGAGCGTGACCCTTGGCGCTGCTCCTTCCAGCTGGTTTACGGAGCAGCAGCAGCAAGAGTCCGTCTGGTTCTCCGGCAGCTCATTTAAATGACTAACAGGTTATAATAATAATAATAATAATTTTAAAAAAGAAGAAGTTCTGCCGTCAAAGTGTCACGATGCTGCAAATTTAACTGTCTGCGCTTTTCTTCTCTGCACGCAAAACATGACAAGAGCCAGAAATTACAGTCGCTCTTTTAATTTCTGTGTTGACGCGAGAAAAGAAAGCAGCTCAGAGGAAACTACGAAATGTTAAAGTGGAATAATGAAGGTGTCAGTCTGGAGCAGAGCCGCAGGACGGTGGGAACAAAACAGTGAAACCATCTCCACACATCAGAGGCCTCCTGCTCACCGTCCTACAAACGGGTCGACTGTAAAACACGGACGTTCAAAATGGCGTCTGCCAGATTCTACAGCGAACGCTCTCTGAGATCATTTAAACTAATCTATCAAAAGTTACCATTTCCCTCAACTATTAAAGAAAAAAACCTGAAATTTCACTGTCTGGTTGCTGCCGGGTTGTTGCCTGGTTGTCGCCTGTCTGGTTTGGTGTTGCCCACTTGTTGCCTGTCTGGTTGTTGCCTGGTTGTTGATGATTGGCTGTTGCCTAGTTGCTGCCTGTCTGGTTGTTGTTGTCTGGTTGTTGCCTGGTTGTTATTGATGTCTGGTTATTGCCTGTCTGGTTGTTGCTGAGTTGCTGCATGGTTGTTGCCTGTCTGGTTGTTTTGCCTAGTTGCTGAGTGCTTGTTGCCTGCCTGGTTGTTGCCTGTCGAGTTGTTGTTGCCTGTCTGGTTGCTGCCTGGTTGTTGTTGCCCGCTTGTTGCCTGGTTGCTGCCTGTCTGATTGTTTTGCCTAGTTGTTGATGACTGGTTGTTTCCTAGTTGCTGCCTGCCTGGTTGCTGTTGCCTGGTTGTTGCCTAGTTGCTGCCTGTCTGGTTGTTGTTGCCTCTCTGGTTGTTGCATGTCTGGTTGCTGGATAATGGCAGCGTCCACTCACAGCTTTTAGACGTCTGCTGTGCTGCTGATGGTCAGACAGTGGACGGAAAGGTCACGAGTTAAACTGGTTTATACTGAGCTATAGTGGTTTATACTGAGTTATACTGGTTTGTAGTGGGTTATACTGGTTTATACTGAGTTATACTGGTTTATACTGAGTTATACTGGTTTAAACTGGTTTATACTGAGTTATACTGGTTTAAACTGGTTTATACTGAGTTATAGTGGTTTATACTGGGTTATACTGGTTAATACTGAGTTATAGTGGTCTATACTGAGTTATAGTGAGTTATAGTGGTTTATACTGAGTTATACTGGTTTAAACATTACCTATACTGGTTTAGTGATTTATACTGCATTATACTGGNATTCTACAGCGAACGCTCTCTGAGATCATTTAAAACTAATCCATCAAAAGTTATGATTTCTCTCAACTATTAAAGACAAAAACCTGAAATTTCACTGCCTGGTTGTTGCCTGGCTGTTGCCTGGTTATTGTTGCCTGGCTGTTGATGACTGGTTATTGCTTGTCTGGTTGTTGCCTGGTTGTCACCTGTCTGGTTGCTGTTGCCTGCTTGCTGCCTGGTTGTTGCCTGTCTGTTTGTTTTGCCTGGTTGTTGTTGCCTAGTTGCTGCTTGGTTGTTGCCTGGTTGTTGATGACTGGTTGTCGCCTGTCCGGTTGCTGTTGCTTGCTTGTTGCCTGTCTGGTTGCTGTTGCCCACTTGTTGCCTGTCTGGTTGTTTTGCCTGGTTGTTGATGACTGGCTGTTGCCTAGTTGTTGTTGTCTGGTTGTTGTTGCCTGGTTGTTATTGATGACTGGTTATTGCCTGTCTGGTTGTTGCATGTCTGGTTGCTGCCTGGTTGCTGCCTGTCTGGTTGCTGTTGCCCACTTGTTGCCTGGTTGTTGCCTGTCTGGTTACTGTTGCCCACTTGTTGCCTGTCTGGTTGTTTTGCCTAGTTGCTGAGTGCTTGTTGCCTGCCTGGTTGTTGTTGTCTGGTTGTTGCCTGGTTATTGCCTGTCTAGTTGTTGTTGCCTAGTTGCTGCTTGGTTTTGCCTGGTTGCTGCCTGTCTGATTGTTTTGCTTAGTTGTTGTTGCCTAGTTGTTGCCTGGTTGTTGCCTGTCTGGTTGCTGTTGCCCGGTTGCTGTTGCCTGGTTGCTGGGTAATGGCAGCTGTCCAGCGTCCACACACAGCTGAAGCAGTTTTAGACGTCTGCTGTGCTGCTGATGGTCAGACAGTGGACGGAAAGGTCACGAGTTATACTGGTTTATACTGGGTTATGGTGGTTTATACTGGTTTATACTCATTTATACTAAGTTATACTGGTTTATACTGAGTTATACTGGTTTATATTGAGTTATAGTGGTTTATACTGAGTTATACTGGTTTACATTGAGTTATACTGGTTTGCACTGAGTTATGCTGGTTTATACTGAGTTTTACTGGTTTAAACTGGTTTATACTGAGTTATAGAGGTTTATACTGAGTTATACTGGTTTATATTGAGTTATACTGGTTTACACTGAGTTGTAGTGGTTTACACTGAGTTATACTGGTTTATATTGACTTACACTGGTTTACACTGAGTTCTACTGGTTTATATTGAGTTATACTGGTTTAGTGATTTATACTGCATTATACTGGCTCATTCTGTTATACTGAGCTATTCTGTTGTACTGGTTCATACTGGTTTATACTGAGTTATTCAGAGTGAGTCCTGTAAAATCCTCCTGGAACCAGTCACATGGTAAACTCACTGTAGTAAAATAAAATGTCAGCTGGAGACTGGAGCAGTTAGAGAAGCAGTTAGCTGCTCTAAATATGTTCATTTTCTTTAGGTTTTAGTTCGTCACAGAGCAAAGCAGCAGCAGCCACGTTTATACAACCTGCTTTAAACTGAGCTAAACACAGGGCAGAGCATCAAACGCTGACATCTGCTGCTGCTGCACAGGACTGCATAGTTTGATCTGCAACCCACAAGTCAGAGTCCAGACAAGTTCTTACACTGAGAGCAGGACATGTGCCAAGTGTGTCGTGTATTTAACAACCATCTCTGTGCCGCAGGACGTTTCTGTCAGAAATTATTCAACCTGTTTAATTTTGCTGTTTGTAAATCAGCTCTCCGTGTTCCAGGCTGCAGCTTTTGGGAATGACGCAGACGTGAATGATGCATGAAGCTGCAAACGCGTCACAAATCATATGTGAATAAAAGAACAAAACAGGGAAACACACGAGGATGAAGGTGGTCCGGCTACTGGGAGCTGTAAAATCTGAAGAAAAACACTTCAATCATGTCCAATTAGAGCATTTTGGAGAAAAAATGTAAATATCTGAAGTGCTATTAGTCAAACGAGTTTAATATTTGAGAGAATTCCAGGTTTCAAACTGTTTTTTTGTTGGTTTTTTTAACACAAGTCAAAAGCTGAAGATGTTCGGGTGTAAAAAGCTGCAAGTCTTTGGAGAAAAGTGAAACTTTTCCGTACAACAAATGACAAAACGAGTTAAAGATGATCAGAAAAGTTAATTATTGCTTTTCTGTATGAGGACTGATTCCATTAGTTGTTTTGATGTCGATGCTCTCAGACTGATTCATTTCTACTTCCCTCTGCTGAACGTATAGAAGCACATTTAGTTAAACTCCTAACAGCTGATCTGACAGGCTGGGATCTCTGCCGCACCGAGCGGAAACAGTTTTGGCTGCAGCAGCGGATCTTCGGCCACTGGGCTCCAGAACCATGGGGGAAGAAACTCGAGTTTGTCCAACAGCTACAGGAGGACTTAATAAATCATCGAGGAGTCGCAGAATAATCTGTCAGGAGAAATTTGGAGCTCGACTTTGAAGCACAAATTGAGATGACGTGCGTCAGCGGAGACGGAACCATGTGGGGTTTCCATGCAGGAAATCTGTGAGCAAAAAAAAATAAACTGCAATAAAACACCACAAATGTCAAATCCATTTATTCATGCAAATCATAAGGAAACAGAAAAATAATGTGCAGGAACTACAGGTGCCCAGAAATCCATTTTTACACACAAAACCCCCCAAAACACAACATGTCTAACAGTTACTGCACGCGGACGAAGCTACAGATGCACAGGAGGCCGAACCCAGCTGGAGGATGAGCGGAACCGGAGCTCGGAGGTTCTAACACCAGTTTAACATGAAGTTCTACAACCACAGCAGCAGCAGCAGCAGCAGCACGTTTACACCAGACTACGCACAGAAGCGGTTGAGTGTGTCTCCAGTCTTTGCTCTGCGTCCACTAACAGCCCAGTCCGCTCATCGACCCGATCCGGTCCAGTTTGAGCCCGAAGCAGCCCCGGTTCCACCCCCTCCGTGACCGCTCCGGCTCCGCTCTCTTCTGGTTGGCCAGCGCGCCCTTCAGCAGACGCAGCCACGGTGTGTCCGGCGCCGCGTCGGCCCACTTGGGCGGGTCGGCGGCCTTGGTGCCGGAGGAGAAGGTGGACTGCTCGTCGGCGGAGCTGCTGAGGAGGTTCTCCAGGTCGTCCAGGGTCAGCAGGTCGTTGTAGCGCTCCAGGAACTGCTCCATGAACTGCTCGGACCAACAAACACTGATTTAATAGTCGGGGAGTGGACGAGGAGTAACTCAATCAGAACAGCATTTCATTACTCTGCTCCTCCTGCTGCTCCCTCCCAGGCTTCCACTCTCACGGCCGCCTCGACTTCCTCCTCCCCTCTTTTTCCTTCATCTCCATTTGCCTCCCTCCTCCTCCCCTCACCTCCTTTTTACCTTCTCCTCTGCCTCCCTTCTCTTTTCTTCTCCCCCTTTGTCTCCCTCCTCCTGCCTTCTTCTTCATTCAACCTCCCTTCTCCCCCTTTCTCCTTCTTTGCCTCCCTTCTCCCCAACTTCTCTCTTCTTCCCTCACCTCCTTTTTACATCTCCTCCTCTGCTTCCCTTCTCCCCCTTTGCCTCCCCTCTACTCCTACTTCCACCCCCTTTCTGCTCCCTTCTTATCCCTCCTCCCCTCTCACTTTCCCACCTTCTTCTTTTATGCCTCCCTTCCCCCATCCTCCCTTCTCTTATCTCCCCCCTTTGCTGCTCTTCTTCACCTCCTTTCTTCCTTCTCTTCCTCCTCCATCATCCCTCCCTCCCTCCTCCTCCCCTCCTCACCTGTGCAGCATCAGGAGCGGGATGCAGAGCTCGCGCCTCGCAGACCTCCAGAGGAGCGAGGAGCAGCAGAGCGGCAGCGAGCAGCGCCGGACACAGCATGGCAGCAGGAGAACAGGACGGGCTCAGAGGGAAACTGGAAACTGCACCGATCCCAACGGCTCAGGTTCTGGTTCTGGTACTTCACACAAACACAGGCAGAGAAAAACCACAAGTTCTGACAAACCCGGAGCGTTAATTAGAGCCGTTCGACCACCGGGTCTCTGTAGGATCCACTCAGAACCGGTAAACACAGAGGAGGCGTCCAGATAATTGGAGGCTCTGAGATGTAAACGAGCAAATATCAGGATTATTATTTAAAGAGCAGAACTTTACGGTGCACCGAATAACGTTTAATAAACTCTAGTGTCACATGTTGCTCAGAAAAAAATAAATGACACAAGAAATGCAAAGTAGAACGAGTCTGGAACTCGTGTTCATTAAATATTTCAGCAGAAAATTAATAACTGTCAGTTCAGGGATTTAAAAAAAGTCATAATTTGAGAATATTTTAGGATTTTTTAATGTCACAATTACACACACATTAAAAAAATACACACCAAATGTCATTTCATGTCAGAATCTGAAATATTTTTTGATCCCTGAGAGCAAGTTGTTCCCAATTTAAATTAAAGCAGCACAAACATGAGTAGAAAAATAGAATAAAGTAGAAAATAAAGCTTAAAAGATCAAAAAATGCACATTGTAGTAGGAAATAAAAGTACACAGCGCAATTATTCTTATTAATAGTACAGTTAGAATTGTCAACTCTTGAAGTGAATCTCACTCTAACTAGATTTATTCTCGTATCTTGTCGTCTGAGATGCAGTTAAAGGAGACGTGAGAGTTTAAAGAAGCTGCTCACCTGTCGTCGGTCGCTTCAGCTCGTCTCTCGGCTCGTCGTCCTCCTCTCTGACTCTTCACGCCGTCTCGCTTGTTGGCACCTGCCTGAGCATCACTCTCTCTCTCCTTGTGGCTCCGCCTCCTCCTCGCTCAGCTCTGACGGAATTGGAGGAAGGTTTTTTTTTCTCCTTCCCCTCGGCAGAGTTCTGGGGCATCAGCCGGGATGCTGCAGAGGTTTTGTAGAGGCAGAGCTGCCCTCCTCCTCCTCCTCCTCCCTTCACAGCATCCTCCTCCTCCTCCTCCTCCTCCATCTGGGTGATGTCATAGCCTTGGCGAGGCCGAGCGTCGCTGCCAAGGTGCGTCGAGGTCAGAGGGCAGCTCGAGAAAACCAGAATCGAACCACCGCGCGGTTCGGTCACGACCGAGCGGTGAATTATAGGTTTGTGCGAGGTGACGGCGCTCGTCGCCGTGGTGCTTCCCAGCATGCGCTGACCTCCCCTCTATGCCGCTAAGTTACAGTCTGTCAGCGCCATCTGCTCCCCCGAACCCCCGCCGACAAATTACAACACCGGAGGAGCTGCAGGATCCAACACGCTGACCTTAAAGTTCAGCAGCCTCTGATTATTCCCAGTAAATAAACTCTGCAATTAGAGCCGTTCGTCACAATGACGGTACAGAATTCATCCCTCGGTTTAACTCTCATGCTCAGATAAAAACCCCTCTGCTTGTCGGCGAGTGTCTTTACATAACGAGAATATTCTGCTCATCGTGTGGGAGCAGCTGTAGGCGAAACGCAGATTAGTGGTGTTTTCAGGGGGTTAGACTGGCGTTCATGTGGCGGTGTGGAGGGGAAGTAGGCAGCGGAGTGTAGGAGGAGGAGGAAGAGCTACCAACGGACTGATCACAGCAGCAGACGGGAGAAGAAGTAGAAGAAGAACTGTAAATAAACAACAACAACGTGGAGCGTTCGAGTGCGATCCGACGGAGGAAGGAGCAGCGAGGAGCAGTAACGCTGTCTGGACAAGCTGTGCAGCCGTGAAACACTGCTGTCCAAACACACGACGCAACCGGAGCCACAGCTGCCGAATAAATTCACACCGAACACAAAGAAACCTCCGGAGCTCCGTTTAAAACCAGCAGCAGGTTTATTAAAAGACTTCTGTGTCTCGGATTCGACTAGTTTAAGAAACAGGATTCTTTAAAATATACAGAAAAAGATTCAAAAAACAGGTTAAAAAAAAAAAAAATGCTTCGAGCTTAAAAGAATTAAAAAAGGAAACGGACAGAAAAACAAGAAGGGATCAGTTCCGGAGTCGAGCTCGCCGCGACGTCCGAGCGATCGGCGTCGTCACTTTGGGGGTTTCGCTCTCGGCCATCACGGCGTCTGGTGGGAAAACAGTTCAAGAAAAAGGCAGATTAGAACTCAGTGGAGCACAGTGAGGGTCAGTGTACAAATACTGGGAAACTACTGCAACACCCGGCTGGTGAAATGGTCGTTTAATTGGTTTTAGTGCTTAAAGATTGTTTAGAAGTTTTGCAGTTCACGAGACAGATCATGTAAATGTATTGCGAGTCAAATAACGGGTTTATTTTGTTGTTTTTTATCATCAGAGGTGGATGAGGAACTTGAAGGAAAAGATGCTAACCGACGTGTCAAACATCTCTGCGTGCAAACGTTACTGCACGACGAGCTGAACTTAAAATGTGCACTAAAGTCTCACTTCTGCAGAACTGAAAGCTTTTCTCGGCAGAACATCTGCAGAACGGATTCATTCAGAACCGATGAACTCGCATTAATTAGAGCCGTTTAGCCTCCAGCAGGTCTCTGTAGGACCCACTTAGGATCAGTCGTCAATGCAACACGGAGGAGGCGTCCAGCTGGAGATAATTGGAGGCTTTGAAATGGAAACGAGCGAATACTTTACGTTGCATTGAATGAAGGATTGATCGACTCTGGTGCCGAATGTTGCTCAGAAAAAAACTAAACGATGTAAAGAAACAGCAATAATTCATATTAAATAACAAGTCTGTCATATTACTGACATAAGTACAATAAGACTGGAAGAGAAAAGGACAATAATCCACTTTTAGCTCAATTAATCGTTAAAAAAAAAAGAGCTAAATAGGAGATAAGTGGTCTGCTGTGTGCTTCTGGTGTCGAATATGTTCAAGAAGGCATCAAATCGAAGTCAGACTTTTGTGACAACAGAAACAAAAAAAAACTGATTCAATCACCTGATAAATAGTCAAGTATAGTTATTATTATTATTATTATAATATTATCAGAAGCTAGAGAGAGGATCTGGCGGTCTGTAAATCAGCCACGTTATCTCGTAGTATTGGTGGCAGATGTTTCGGTCGTTTCCTATCGGCTCCATTAGAAGCTGCAGATGTTGGATTAGTGCTGCTGCAGCAACTTCAAATCCTGTCCCCTGAACTCATCGATCCAAAGATTATTACCGACTCGTCGTAAATCCTGTAAATCTCCTGTCAAACTTTTCCATCAACTGGGTGATGAAGTAAATTAAAATTAGATGATTTTTGTTTTTCCTATTTAACATTTTACAAACTAAATGATTAAACTGAGACTCAGATCAGTCGATATTGTAAATATCTGCTATTTTGAGCCACAAATAAATGTTGGTTTTATGCTTTGTGCCAAACAATAACAATAAAACGATGGTTAGTTGTGGCTCTACGATGACGCTTCATCAAAGAAAAAAAAAGTTCCAGTTTAAATGAATGAATCTGAATGAATCCTGACTTTTAGCTCCGGTTTGGTCGCCTCCAGCAGATTTTAGAATCAGGAGGAATTTCTGTCACGTCGGTTGTTATGAGATGTTCAGTTGGAGGTTTTAGTAGTTGGACAGATGGAGACTCTTCTAGAAACGTGATCAGCTGAGTCAAATAAGTCCAAGGAGAAGAAGAAATCCGACAGTTTGTAGCTGCAGCGACTGAATGAATCAACATTAATGAGCTGCAGAGATTAATCGATTAGTCGTCAACCATTAAATCAAGTGTTCTGATTATCGGTTAATCAGTTTGAGTGATTTTTAATTTAAAAAAAAGTCTAAATTCTGTGATTTCAGTTCATTAAACATGAATACTTTCTGGTTTCTTTCCTCCTCTGTGACAACAAACTGAAGCTCTTGAGGCAAAATAAGACGTTTTTCACCACTTTAGAGACCAAACGACTCATTGATTCGTCCAGAAAATGATCAGCGATGAAAATAACGGATGATTATGGGGCTGGAATAAACCGTCAAACCAAACTCTGTTAGAAGAAGTTTACATCCAGACAGAGAAGATTCATTGTGAATGAATCCTGACTTTTAGCTCCGCTTTGGTCGCCTCCACAAGATTTTAAACGAATTTCTGTCACGTCGGTTGTCGTGAGACGTTCAGCCGGAGGCTTTTGTAGTTGGATGGATAGAAACGTGATCAGCTGAGTCAAATAAGTCGAAGGAGAAGAACAAATATCGATTAGTCGTCAACTACTAAATCAACTGCTCTGATTATCGATTAATCAGTTTGAGTGATTTTTGATTTTTAAAAAAAGTCTAAATTCAGTGATTCCAGCTTCTTAAACTGAAGATCTTTGGACAAAACAAGACATTTGAGGAAACTCTGATGGACATTTTTCACTATTTTCAAACAGCTTATAGATAAAAGCAAATAAATAAATCAATAATTAAAATAGTCGTCATAACATTAATGAGCAGGTCATGAAAGGATGAAGCAGATAAAACATCTGGTTTGTTGGTGTGTCTTTAGACTCCAACTCTACAGTTAAATCTGTTTCGATTATTTAATTAATCTCCGACTACTTTGATAATAAATTAATCATTTTGAGTATTTTTTAAATCAAAACAGTAAATTCTGTGATTGCAGAAGGTGAGTATTTTCTGGTTTCTTTCCTCCTCTGTGACAGTAAACTGAAGACATTTGGACAAAACGAGACATTTGAGCATTTTATTTATCTAATCCAGAAAATAATCACCAGATTAATCAATACGTCGCCATTTGCAGACTTTACATTTACACTTTACCTGCAGGACTTAGTTTGGAAAGTGTGAGCCTAGCGCCAAACAGAAATGAACGTCGTTATTGTACTCGGTCGAGTGTCTGCATCCAGCAGCCTACATGCAGAGGAGGTGAAACCAGGAGAATGTTTCATAGATGTTAACGTGACGAGCTCATGAGTAATCCAGCGCTAACAGGTGTAGAGGTGTGAGCAGGTAGCAGCTAAAATTACATCTGATGGAAAGCAGGAATTGTGCTGCTCAACAACTCGGCAACAGCAGAAAGGTCGAGTCGTGCGCTTTCATTTAATATGTGATCGAAAGCGTCCACCAGGGGTCTGAGGGTTAAGCAGCGGCGAATGAATGGAGTTTGTGCGCTCACCCTCTTCGTCCTCCTCCTCCTCCTCCTCGCTGCTGAAGGTGATCACAGGTTTCTTGGACTTGCGAGACCTCTGAGGCGTCACGAAACTCTCGTCGCCTCGGCTGGAGACCGAAGGCTTCGCTTGGCCTGGAAGGAAAAAAACACACAACGTGTTGGTTTGTTTTTCTCTGGCGGATCGTTTCTGAACGTTTCCGGACCGCAGAGCCGCCGACCTCTCTTGGACTTGGCCCGGCCTCTGCTGGGTCGGTTCGTGTGGGGGAGCGTCTTCTCGGCGGGGCCTCCTCCTCTCTGGTTCTCCTCGTCCATCTCGGGGCTCTCCACGTTCTCCAGCCCTCGAGTGTGGACCGCCGTCAGACGCTTCTCGAACTCGTCCACCTGAGCCTGGACGGGAAGCGAAACGAGATCACGACAAGCGCACGACGCAATCGTCAGGAATCAACCGAACAGATGATGGATCAGATCAGAACATCTATCCTTCAATACTGATTGGCTGTTACTGGTGGCATGTGACCAATCAGAGCACACCTTTGGATATATTTATTGGGAGTCCGTCAACACACAAAAAAAGTTTGAAAGACATTTTTTTTTTTTTTTTTTTAAATAAAAAAATCTAACAGTGACGCCATTTTTGGAATTTAATTTGGGAAATACTTCATTATCATCTTATTTATCAGCAAGAATGTGTAAAAGAGAAAGGAAACAATTGTGAGAAATTTAATGTTCTGACGGTCCTTGAACTAACCGTGTGCGACGCGCCGCCTTCATCAGGAAAATGAGCTTCATATTCCATCCATGTCACTTCATTTTTACATTTCTCGGGTAAAAAATTTGCCAAAGAAAATCTGCTTGCACCAAATCCTATATTTATAAAAATAAATAAATAAAGATGGAGCTCTTTGTATGTTTGTGTGTAATATATGTAATTAATAAAGCACTAAAACACCCGTCAGCCATGAAAGCTTATCCAGAAACACCTTAGAAAAAAAAAAAAAGACTGTTTACTGTTAAAAAGAGAAGGTATGT